CGGCCTCAGCTGTCAATCTGCCGGCAAGAATTTATTGATTTTAAATTGGAACAATTTTTTTTTATCTTACAAGGAATATTTAACCCCTTGGCACCGGCGCCTCCCGGCCCTTTAAGGGTTTCAGAAGCCAGGAGGCGGGGCTTTAAGGTCATGTGACCGCCGTGATTCGCCATCACGGTGGTCACATGATCGGGAAGGTCCCAATCGAAAGAGGAGATCGGGACTTTTCCGTGAGTACCGGACATGTGTTTCTGGGAGCACGCAGGGCGCCCCACTCTCAGCACCAGGGGCGGACTGACCATTTGGAAACTTGGGCGCTGCCCGAGGGCCCGGGGTCAGTAGGGAGCCCCATGAGATGCCCCTGGCACCTTTTTCATAGGCTTTTTTGAATTTGGGCAAGGACACAGGGGCCCCATGATCCCCTATTGCCCGGGGGCCCCATGAGTTGTCAGTCCACCCCTGCTCAGCACAATGTGCGGACGCTTGGCAACTAGGCCCAGACGCTGGGAGGCCGCACATTTGTGTACGGCCAGCGTGAAGAGGTTAAACAATGGTAAAGTGCCTAAGCATTACCCTGAATAATACACCAATTGTGTGAAATTCCTCCTAAAAAAAAAACAGTGCACTTCCTAGTAAGTGAGGGTGCCTAGGCACTTCTTTGCCTATAACCTCATAGCTGTATATCTGCAGCGTGAGATATAAGGCATTGCCGCCTCTGACTGCTAATCTCACCAGTTTTGGAGTGGGATTTGGTGATATCACCATTGGGCTGCTCGCTGTTCTCTTTGCCGGAGGCTCTGACATGAGGAAGCAAAGCCCTGCCTCTACCAAGATGGCGGCTTCAACACAGAGACACAGTTTAGAGTCAAGCACTGTAAATTTGCAATGGATAAAACATCAACTCCAGGGGGTCACAGACAATACTAGTGGCTAGGTCAATTAGGAAAGGAAAGGAAAGGAAAGGAAAAAAATAAAAGGAAAGGAAAGGAAAAAAAGGAAAAGAAAGGAAGGAAAGGAAAAAAGGAAAGGAAAGGAAGGGAAAGGAAAAAAGGAAAGAAAAGGAAAGGAAAGGAAGGGAAAGGAAAGGAAAGGAAAAAAAAGGAAAGGAAAGGAAAGGAAAAAAGGAAAGGAAGGGAAAGGAAAAAAAGGAAAGGAAAGGAAAAAAAAAAAAAGAAAGGAAAGGAAAAAAGGAAAGGAAAGGAGTAAAATGAAAGGAAAGGGAAGGGAAAAAAAGGAAAGGAAAAAAAAAAAGGAAAAGGAAAAAAAGGGAAAAAAAGGAAAGGAAAGGAAAAAAAGGAAAGGGGAAAAAAAAAGGAAAGGAAAAAAAGGAACGGCAAAAAAAGGAAAGGAAAAAAGGAAAGGAAAAAAAGGAAAAAAAGGAAAGGGCAGGAAAAAAGGAAAGGAAAGGGAAAAAAAGGAAAGGGCAGGAAAAAAGGAAAGGAAATGAAAGGAAAGGAAAAAAAGGAAAAGAAAGGAAAGAAAAGGAAAGAAAAGGAAAGAAAGGAAAAAGGAAAAGAGTGTCAAACATGTAATGCACATTTTGTACCTCTCTACTGCTATAGCTACTGGTCTCCAAGCCTGACCCCTGACCATGACAGAGGGCCTAACCCTTCCCCATGCTATCTAAAAATGAAAATAAATACCTGTAAAACTGAGATTAGTGTCAGTAACCTCAAACATACTGTACATAGAGGATTATCTTGATAAAACCGGTAATGTAACAGTAACCAAACATTAAATTCCCTGTATGTGAATCTTCCTGCCTTTTAAATACCAGGGACTGATTTACCTCCAGTGAATATGTGTTTGGTGAATATCACTATCACTGCTTTATGAATATGTACCTAAAAAATTATTAAAAAAAAAAAAAAAAATAGATAAAATATATGGTACCAAAATTCTAAAAGTGTTAGCCAGCCAAGTCAACTTTGAAGGCAAGATACACAGTGATGTTTACTCCTTGGTGCCAAGAGGTGGCGCTGTATAGTTTTAAAATTCTTTGCCCAGTATCCAGTATGTAGGTCTGCATAAGCATTGTCTAAATAAAAAACACTGACATTTCTGTTTTGTAATACGTTGACCTTTTAGCCGGCAGAAGTACAGGTCACCATCAGGGGCGGACTGACCATTTGAAAACTCGGGCACTGCCCGAGGGCCCGGGGTCAGTAGGGGGCCCCATGAGATGCCCCTGGTACCTTTTTCATAAGCTTTTTTGAGTTTGGGCAAGGACACAGGGGTCCCATGATCCCTATTGCCTGGGGGGCCCCATGAGTTGTCACTCTGCCCCCTGACCACCATACATCATAAGAGATCTTGTAGGACATTCAGCAGTTTGTGCAGTGCAGTGCAGCCAGTAACATGTGCAGTGCAGCCAGAAATCAAGGAGTCCTCAAGTTATCCAGTTCTAGAGTTTTTGGGGTATCCCATGCTCAGGGGCGGACTGACCATTTGGAAACTCCGTGCAATGCCCAAGGTCCGGGTCAGTAGGGGGCCCCATGAGATGCCCCTGGTACCTTTTTCATAGGCTTTTTTGAGTTTGAGCAAGGACACAGGGGCCCCATGATCCCCTGTTGCCCAGGGGCCCCATGGTTGTCAGTGAGCCCCTGCCCATGCTACCCTAATAACCATTATGGTTTTCTGAGCCAGTGACAGAATGAATAAAATTTGTGTGCTTTTTTGGCTGCGTGTGAAACTTTAACAACAATTTCCTGCAACTCCTCCAGGAAATGGGGGGGTCGCCCCTGCCCATGTAATTTTGTTTTGGTGACATCACTAGGGTTCATACTTTTAAAGGAATGAAATTGCAAAAGCTTCTCTCTGTATTGGAGGGGATTTTCACTACAAAACTGGACACCGAACATCATAATGCTTTGTGATTTTTTTTTTTTTTAAATGCATAAAAGAAGCACACACCTATAATTCAGCAAAAAGAAAAAAAAATTCTTTGTTTTTCCACTCTTGAAGGATTTCAGGGTATTTTCGAAAAAGGGTGAAGCTTGCCATCTGATATGGGATGAGTGAACGCTCCGACTCATTCATGCTTGTTTAAATTTTTACCTTGAGCTACTGAGCTCCGTGAACATCGTGTATTTTTATCGGATGGTGTTTTTAGCACGGTTACACGATAGTTTATGTTTTTGAGGTTCATTTTCGAGATTTGCAAAAAGAGATCACACAAACGAAAATCAAATATTTTTTTTTATATAAAAAATAATATAATAAAAAATATATAATAATAATATTAATAAAATATAAAATGATAAAAAAAAAAAATATATAAGATAAAACCAAACTGTATATAAAATGTAATTAAGTAATGACAGATAGAGATGAGAAATGTAATAATGTTGGAAAAAATGTAACAAGAAACTTAGGTATAGATGCCTTTCATCAAGGATTCCCACCCGTTTCCAGCTTGGCAGATGACCAAGTAGACATGTGCATAAAGCAGCCCTGGTGAAAGTCTAATTTATTTCAAGTTTTGAATGTAGTATATACAGGAGTAATTGGTTATAATAGCCAATCATAACCCCTGGAAAGTAACATTATTATTATACAGGATTTATATATTATTATTATTATACAGGATTTATATATTATTATTATTATATACAGGATTTATATATTATTATTATTATTATTATTATACAGGATTTATATATTATTATTATTATACAGGATTTATATAGCGCCAACAGTTTGCTCAGCGCTTTACAATATAAAGGGAGACAATACAGCAACAATACAGTTCAATACAAGAGGGTTAGGAGGGCCTAATCCTCGGAGCTTACAATCTAAAAGGGAGGGGCTGGTGGTACAAAAGGTAATAACTGTGGGGGATGGACTGGTAGGAGGAGTAGAAGATTTCAGTATTATCTGAGGGCAGGATAGGCTTCCCTGAAGAGATCGGTTTTCAGAGATCGCCTAAAAGTGGGCAGAGTAGGCAATAATCTGATAGATTGGGGTAGAGAGTTCCAGAGGATGGGGAAGGCTCTGGAGAAGTCCTTGAAATGAGCATGTGAGGAGGAGACAAGGGAGCTAGAGAGCAGGAGGTCATGGGAGCAGTGGAGAGGACGGTTTGGGTGATATTTGGAGACAAGATTGTTGATGTAATTTGGGGCAGAGTTATAAATGGTTTTATATGTTGTTGTTAATGTTTTGAATTTTATCCGTTGGGTAATGGGAAGCCAGTGGAGGGATTGGCAGAGAGGGATGGAGGACACTGAGTGGAGGACAGTGGAGGGATTGGCAGAGAGGAATGGAAAACACTGAGTGGGAGCCAGTGGAGGGATTGGCAGAGAGGGATGGCGGACACTGAGTGGAGGCCAGTGGAGGGATTGGCAGAGAGGGGTGGAGGACACTGAGTGGGGGCCAGTGGAGGGATTGGCAGAGAGGGGTGGAGGACACTGAGTGGAGGCCAGTGGAGGGATTGGCAGAGAAGAATGGAAGACACTGAGTGGAGGCCAGTGGAGGGATTGGCAGAGAGGAATGGAAGACACTGAGTGGGGGCCAGTGGAGGGATTGGCAGAGAGGGGTGGAGGACACTGAGTGGAGGCCAGTGGAGGGATTGGCAGAGAGGAATGGAAGACACTGAGTGGGGGCCAGTGGAGGGAATGGCAGAGAGGAATGGAAGACACTGAGTGGGGGCCAGTGGAGGGATTGGCAGAGAGGGGTGGAGGACACTGAGTGGAGGCCAGTGGAGGGATTGGCAGAGAGGGGTGGAGGACACTGAGTGGAGGCCAGTGGAGGGATTGGCAGAGAGGGATGGAAGACACTGAGTGGAAGCCAGTGGAGGGATTGCCAGAGAGGAATGGAAGACACTGAGTGGAGGCCAGTGGAGGGATTGGCAGAGAGGGATGGAGGACACTGAGTGGAGATAAGTAGAGGGATTGGCAGAGAGGGATGGAGGACATTGAGTGGAGGCCAGTGGAGGGAGTGGCAGAGAGGGGTGGAAGACACTGAGTGGAGGCCAGTGGAGGGATTGGCAGAGAGGGGTGGAGGACACTGAGTGGAGACCAGTGGAGGGATTGGCAGAGAGGGGTGGAGGACACTGAGTGGAGGCCAGTGGAGGGATTGGCAAAGAGGGATGGAGGACACTGAGTGGAGGCCAGTGGAGAGATTGGCAGAGAGGAATGGAAGACACTGAGTGGAGGCCAGTGGAGGGATTGGCAGAGAGGAATGGTAGACACTGAGTGGGGGCCAGTGGAGGGAATGGCAGAGAGGAATGGAAGACACTGAGTGGGGGCCAGTGGAGGGATTGGCAGAGAGGGGTGGAGGACACTGAGTGGAGGCCAGTGGAGGGATTGGCAGAGAGGGGTGGAGGACACTGAGTGGAGGCCAGTGGAGGGATTGGCAGAGAGGGATGGAAGACACTGAGTGGAAGCCAGTGGAGGGATTGCCAGAGAGGAATGGAAGACACTGAGTGGAGGCCAGTGGAGGGATTGGCAGAGAGGGATGGAGGACACTGAGTGGAGATAAGTAGAGGGATTGGCAGAGAGGGATGGAGGACATTGAGTGGAGGCCAGTGGAGGGAGTGGCAGAGAGGGGTGGAAGACACTGAGTGGAGGCCAGTGGAGGGATTGGCAGAGAGGGGTGGAGGACACTGAGTGGAGACCAGTGGAGGGATTGGCAGAGAGGGGTGGTAGATACGGCATGGTTAGTAAGGTGGATGAGTCTGGAAGCAGCATTCATGATAGACTGAAGAGGGGGTAGCCTGTGATGAGGTAGGCCAATGAGGAGGGAGTAAAGAGTTCCAGAGGATTCGTTATTAGCTGAGGGCAGGATAGGCTTCGCTGAAGAGATAAGTTTTCAGAGATCGCCTAAAAGTGAGCAGAGTAGGCGATAGTCTGATAGATTGGGGTAGAGAGTTCCAGAGGATGGGGGAGGCTCTTGAGAAGTCCTGGTAACATTACCTTTTAGCATGCATTCCTTCATGTGGTCAGTTTGCAGTAATGACATTCAGTAGCATTAGGTCGGTCAAGCTAAAACCATCCATATATGGCCTCTTAGCCAGGCTTGGATGTGTTCTTTCCTATTATTGAGCCATAATAAAGAAAAATGAAATTTCTCCATCAGATGGCTAAGAAAATTAGAAAAACCGTGTTAAAAAAGCATCTAGAACCATTTCCTGGGTTACAAAGAAAACACAAAATAATTCATGTGCAATATTTTATATTTATCTAACAAAAAACATATTTTTTCAATTGTATTTTTAAATCCAGGTGCATTTTTCTTACAGCATAAAGCAGCTTCTATAAAATGTAATGCAGTGTTGATGAGCCATTTTGTTTTTTTTTTTCTCCTAGGAATCTGGTGACATCATTCACGTGATGAATTTCACTCTAGATGCCGAATCAGCAAAACTGCGCCATACCGTGCAGGTGATCGCCACCGTGACCTTCAGCTTAATTTTTCTACTGGGAATGATGGGAAATGGCACTGTGATCTGGATAACTGGATGTCGACTACAAAGATCTATCAACACTGTCTGGTTCTTCAACCTGGCCTTAGCTGATTTCATCTCGACATTTCTGGTCCTGGTCACTGTTCTTTATTTATTGCTGGACCTACACTGGCCTTTCGGGCCTATTTTTTGCAAGCTTGTCAACTGCATCTTTGGCCTCAGCATCTACGCCAGCATCCTTCTCCTGAGTGCTATCAGCATCGATCGATGCGTTCTCGTTCTTTTCCCGGTCTGGTGTCAAAATTACCGCAATCCAAGACTGGTGATGACAACGTGTGTGGTGATTTGGATAGTCTCCATTGCCTTGGTCCCTGGATCCTACACCCTTTCAGAGATGTCTACAGAAAGCAACCGTAGTTCTTGCAAAAACTTGGATGTTTTTGAGGACTGGGAAAAAAGAGAAGCTGAAATATTCACCATTTGCATCTTTCTTTACCAGTTTTTGGTACCGTTGTGTGTTATTCTTATTTCCTACGCAATTCTTTTAATAACGCTACGCAGGAAAAAGCTAAATCGATCCAGCAAGCCCTTTTTGGTTGTCACTGGGGTGGTCTTCTCGTTTTTTCTATGTTGGCTTCCTTATCATGCCTTAGCACTGGCCCGAGTGTTTCTAGGTGGTCTACCACTGCTGGTCAGCCTGGTGGCTGTACCGTTGTCCAAATGTTTAGCTATGTTCAATAGCTGTATCAACCCTATACTCTATTTTTTCATTGGTCGGGAATTCAAGGACTTGGTAAAGAAATCGATTACACAAGTTTTTAAAACAGTGTTCGAGGAAATACCACACTAGCAATAATGGAGATGATTTCTCCATGGACAGAACTGGAAATGGAAGTGAACCATTGCATGCCTAACCAGCTGTATGGTATGGAACCATAATGCATTGGAGGTCATTCTATTGGCAACACAAAAGCTCAATAGCATCTGCTGTCCTGGAAAAGTGGTGGTGAAAAATTGTTCAACCAACCCACCAACCAACCTCGGTGGTGGATAGATCTTCTGCTATGATCAACACAAGACTTACAGACTCAACACAACTGGAGAAAGTCACAACAATACGTACAATGTTACATTTTTTTAAAAGTTTGAATAAATCTTCGAAGTTTAAAGCTGGTCTCTAGGCATCATCTAAATTTCTCCTGAAGCCACCTGTCCACCTCTGATGAATGTCCCAGCATTGCTTTGTCTCGTGAACCTACCTCTAATTTTTTATTACTCCCTGCAATGTCTAGGCTTGTAATATGCTTTCAGGGGCAGTTGCTAGGAGGAGGGATTGTCATACATCAGTTTGTATTCACGCCGCCCCCGAGGACCCCCAAGAAAACCTTTTCTATGGACAGAATGAGTTAGGCTCTTGGGAGTCAAGGCAGCAGCATTGTTTTGCTGGGAAAGACGTCAATGAATGTATTTGGAGAGGTACAGAGAGGGGTAGGAATAGGTAGAGCTCTGTAACCCATTTAAAAACAAGAACCAGGCAGGGCTGACCATGCTGCTTGAGATTTCAGTGCTGCAGAGACAGTGCCTATAGCCCACAGCAGGAAGTTGCAAGCTCACTGGATTTCTAGTAGGGTCTTCAGCAGGGGTGGACTGACAACTTATGGGGCCCCCGGGCAATAGGGGATCATCGTTCGCACCCAAAAAAGCCTTTGAAAAAGCCAATGAAAGGTACCAGGGGCATCTCATGGGGCCCCTACTGACCCCAGGCCCTCGGCAGTGCCCAAGTGCTTGAATGGTCAGTCTACCCCTGGTCTTCAGGTATTTTTCTGTACTTGCTATAATTTTTAATGGTTACAGACAGCAAAACCAATCTGACAAGAGTTTTAAAGTAAAATTCCATTCTAATTTCATTTCTGGTCCAGTCACATGATCCCGGGTCGGCTGGGGCAATGATGTCACCCATTGGCTCCAATGGCTCATCCATTGTTGGCAGTCCCTCCTCTCCCCTGCAGCCACCACTGACTGACACAGTGGAGTCAGATCACGTGACACCTGAACAGGCTGAAAATACATCTTTCTTACACAGGTTAATCAGCATAGGTGTTAGGAGGAGGGGGGGAAAGGAGCATTTTGAAGACCAATCAGGTTTATCTTGGAATTATTTCAGTTACTTATATAGTGCTGTCAATTTACGCAGTGCTTTACATATATATTGTACATTCACATCGGTCCCTAACCCTCAAGGGGGGTACAATCTAAGGTCCCTAACTCACATTCATACATACCAGGGCCAATTTAGACAGGAGCCAATTAACCTACAATCATGTCTTTGGAGTGTGGGAGGAAACCAGAGTACCTGGAGGAAACCCATGCAGGCACAGGGAGAACATGCAAACTCCAGGCAGGTGGTGCCATGGTTGGAATTCGAACCAACGACCCTAGTTGTACATTAACACTTCCCTACACTATCTAGCACAACAACAAAAAAGTTTTGGCTTGACATACACATTAGAGCGGAACTACACTGTAATCTGAGCACCACAAACCAAAAATTCATTTTTAATATTCAAAGCAAATTCCCGCATCCATCCATGTTCTCCATGCTTTATTTTGATAAGAAATAACTTTGAAAAACACCCCCTCCCCACAACTTTTCTGGCCATGGCCATCTTTAAAAAGGGCAGATGATTCATGTAGCATTTAACTCCTGGAATCCATCTGCCCTTAGCTCAGGCATGCAGACAAGAGGGTGTTCCTAGCTGAGAAAACCCCTCCCCCTCCTGAAACCTCGTGGAATGTATGACATCATTTTTCTTAGGCATGAAAAGTAGAAAGTAACTGAAGAAATGTAAAAAAAAAAACCATTTAAAACAAGCAAATATAATCTACCTTCCTATCTATGTACTAATGCTAGCAGCATAAGGATTGAAAATAGCCAATGTTGACTGAGAGAACTTGGAAAGACAATTTTGAAATGACATTAACATGTTAAAACCTCTATGAGATTTTAGTGGTTGGGTTTTACATTGATTTTGCTCAAATCAAGAAATTATTCATCAAACAAATTGATTTTTCTTCAGGACATAAACAGCTCAGAATGTAATAAATGTTATTTATACTTTTACAAAACAGCTTGATATATTTATTTAATATGTCAGAATCACAGAACTCCTCAAATCCACAAATCTTTTACTTTATGTACTACTTGTAAATGAATGCATTACTGACTATTGATGATGATGACGACGACGTTAATTTAGTCTATTGTCAAGTGAAGTTTTTGTGAATTTTTGAAAATATAATAATGTCTTTTTTTTTTAAAGTTTGTCCTTCTGTTGTTTTGTAGTTCAATAATACAATAATAAAAACTATTGTCAATAAAGTAATGTTCAGCAGAAGCTAAGTCATATCCAACATTCTTACCAGCTTTAATAAAGCAAACAGGTTTTAATTAAGATATTAATTTAATATTATTATATTAATTAAATATTAATTAATATATTAATTTATGATAATAAACTTCAAAATTAGCATTTTTTAAATTTATGATATACCTATTATTATTTTTTGGTGTTTTGTTTGGCTAAATCTATTTGTTTCGATTACTAGGCTTTTTGAAGGAAAACTATCATGATTTAAAATGTATTATATGTTTTATGTTTATAACTTGATGTTTATATCTTTATATATATAAATGGCTATGGCCAGGGGCAGACTGACAACTCATGGGGCCCCCCGGGCAATAGGGGATCATGGGGCCCCTGTGTCCTTGCCCAAACTCAAAAAAGCCTATGCAAAAAGGTACCAGGGGCATCTCATGGGGCCCCCTACTGACCCTGGGCCCTCGGGCAGTGCCCGAGTTTCCAAATGGTCAGTCCACCCCCCTGGTTATGGCCTTCCAGCATAGTGGTGACTATATTAGCTGCATGCCATGTGATCTATTGGGACTTTGGTACATTAATATTCTCAGCTCCCCGAGGAAGAGCGTAATCATGAAACGTGTCAGGACAAGAGAAATTGTACCCATTACATTTTGATCAAAAAAAGTTTTTGTGAAGCTTCATGCAATGCTTTTAAGGAATTTTATTATATGTTTTGATTTTTTTAAAAATACGTTTTTTTACAGGTCTCTATGTCAATTTGTGGAATGCTGGTAAAATCCCACCCAAATTGGTTTGTTTTGTATTCAATTTAAATCCATCATAAAATCATGGTGTCCAGTGATTCAAATCCATGGTCAATCACAGTGTCCAGTGATGTAAATCCATCATCAATCATGATGTCCACTGATGTAAATCTATCATTAGTCCTGGTGTCCAGTGATGCAAATCCATCGTCAATCATGGTGTCCAGTGACGTAAATCCATCATCAATCATGGTGTCCAGTGATGTAAATCTATGATCAATCATGGTGTCCAGTGATGTAAATCCATCATCAATCATGGTGTCCAGTGATGTAAATCTATGATCAATCATGGTGTCCAGTGATGTAAAT